CAAATATTGACAGCCCGGCATTCGCACATATTGCGACACTCCCGCCGAGAACAATAAGCCTAGGTGAGGACTAACATGCATGCTCAAACAATTACCTTTTCCGTGCTAACGACGTCCATAGACGTCATGCGCGCTGTACGCCAAATGACTAATGACGTCCATAACGTCATGAGATTTGCGCAGTGGAGCGCAGTGCATAGATCAGTGTACAAACTTTCGTAACTCCGTAAAAAATAAGTCTATTGCGACAATCGATACACCGTTGGAAAGGTATTGAGCTCAGCTTTCCAGCAATATAAAGTTCTTTGCGATAGGAGAAAGATTGACGGAGCGGCGACGGAGTGAACACGAAATTCACGGCACTGAGCGATCGTGAATTTTTTTGTTCATGCGTTCACAGTTTTCTGTTGCGTGCCAGGGGATTTCCCTTTCGCACAGCGCATGCGTAATGGATAGCAGCGGAAGCACGTGGATGTCAGCTTTGCAGCGCAGTTTGAATTGTGAAAATCGGCTGACCGGGAGCAAGAAACTGAAAAAGAATGTGAGATCGAGTTCCTGTGCCTTTCCGAGGCATCGTGAGGTAGCTTGAAGAGGACGTAGAAGTTGAACCGCTGTGCATATTGAGTTGAGAGATACCAGGATGGATATTTGCTTGGTCCTGATCTTTCCAACAGGCCCAGGATGATGAAAATCCATCAAGGTAAACTGAATTGAGAGAAATATTCGTTCAGACCTGAACGCGAAAACGACACCAGGAGAGTCAGTGCGCTGGAAATGCAGTTTGCTGGAGTAAAAGGGGCCAGCATGGTCAGGGTTTAACTAAACTGAATCTGACACAGTCAATTGTCTTAGCTGTTCCATACTCCTTTTGGCAGCTTGCCTCTTGCTTTGACTTCTGTGCCGCCGTGCACTGTACCGCCATCATTTTGGATTAGCTGCTGATCATTATCTGCAGCACCATTGTCGTTTGTTACCGAGCCGCCGTCCGCTGAACCATTGTTTGCCGAATCTTTTTTTTCATTGGTTTTTCCATTATTATTAATATTCAGTTCCATCAGTGTATGACTCGCACCGCCATGCATTAGCCGTTTGTGACATTCTTCAATTAGCAAAGTTGTGATTACTCCGTGTTTGGGTATTAGGACTGGGAACTTAGACCGTAGCGGTATGTTTACTTTTTCCAACCGTCCTTTGCACCGCATTGTTTCGTTTTCATCTAGAAACAGGCCGAGTTTGTTGGCTAGATCATTTCGTTTTCCTTTCTGAATTAACTTGAGCGTGTCTGGAAATTCCGTACGTTGCAAATGTCGTAGCCAAACCATTGTCGCATTCTTGAGCTCTTGTGATGTAAGAAACCCATTACATTTATTACCACGCGTACATTTGATGGCTCTCAAAACATATGCTGAGACACGTATCAGTTTTCCCCAAGACGAATACCTTTCCAAATTGATTATCATTGGGTACTCCGTGGGACCCTCCGCCGCCGCCAGTAAGATGTTGGCAGACTTCTCCAACTCCACGGCGTTCGCTGGAATCACCAACACCGATGGCCAACCTTTCTCATTGTTCATCCATCTTGGCCCGTGCCACCAGTTCTTGTTATTTTTCAGCGTGTCCACTGTGGCCCCACGAGAAGGAGTGTCTGCGGGGTTTTCAGCTGCGTCTACATACCGGTACTCAACCAACGACAGAGACCGGATTTCATTCAAGCGCCGGTCCACAAATGTACCGTGTTTTTAAGGTTTCTTGATCCAATGTAACACACATTGCAAATCAGACCACAGCACCAGTCTGGGTTGTTCCGAAAAATTCAATTGTAAGAGTACAAATCATAACGACCGGATACCAATCAAGGCTGCCACTAATTCTAGTCTCGGTATTGTTAATTCCTTGATGGGGGCTAAGCGGGTTTTACTGAGCACAAGATGACAAGAGTCACAACCTGACTGCTCGTCGACAACCGCAAGGTACACACACGCTGCATATGTTGTATGAGAGGCATCACAAAAACAGTGAAGTGTGTATGTGACTGCCCCTGGGTGTGCGACTGTCATCCGTCTCGGAATTTGAATTTCGTGGATCTGCTTTAGATCACCTGTGACTTCTTTCCATTTATTTAGAATTTCTGTTGGGAGGATGTCGTCCCAGTCGCATTTCAATTCCACAGGTTTTGAATCAGGATTTTCGGTTGCAACAGTATTGGAGATAGCAGGCCCATTGGGTCAAAGAACTTTGAGACGACCTGCAACATTTGGCGTTTGGTCCGAACGATCACGTGCTCAACGTCATGACCGGCCAGCGAAATCTGATCGGTGGGTGTACACCACTGCATACCAAGTACTGTCATGACTGTTTCAGAAACTTTGTCAACTTCTGGAATGTGAGAGAGGAAGTCGGAATTGTTCGAAGCCCATTCACGGAGGTTTATAGACGCCTGAGTAATATCTTGCTTTGTTTTGATCATAAATTCGTTTGGCTTGCAGGCTCCCTACATACTAAAGTGATGTAAATATATTTCCTGGTGTATGTGTGTTTGTGTGTGTGTGTGTGTGTGTGTGTGTGTGTGTGTGTGTGTGTGTATGTATGTATGTGTGTTTGTGTGTGTGTATATATATATATATATGTGTGTGTGTGTGTGTGTGTGTATGTATGTATGTATGTAAGTGTGTGTGTTTTTGTGTGCATGTGTGTGTGCGTTTGTGTGTTTGATTAACTCCTTTGTAATGAATGGTGGTCTTGAGGCTTAAACCAGAGCAACTCTGTTTTAGCCACCCACACTGGTAGCAAGCAATGGCCGAAACTTCACATGATTTACGGATCTACAGAAGAGCCACAGGAAAGCGTATACAAACAAGTTATGGACAAACTCCATCAAGTTAACTTTGCCTCACCTTATACGAGTTCCTGGGGTGGCAGGTCATAATCTTCCAGTTCATCATGCGGCTTGCAGCGCTTATCCAGACAGAGTAAATGTTCTACGGGACAAGACTCCCAAGTATATCTCTGTGTAAAACACCTTTAGAACTTTTTTTAGAGAACGCAGCACAACATATAATGAACGTAATTGTAGAGCATGAGAAGTTGAGAACACAATATTATTATTGCCAATTGGTCTGGTCATAGATGGCAACATTTCCTTCAGAGATATGGGAAAGGGATACTTGATGTTGGCCGCACCACGTCAAAGTGATGAAGCCAAGGACAGACGTATGCGCACTGTGTGACAAGCTGGGGGACAAAATTCGTGTCGCCCGTACAGAGGAAGACACGGAATGTGGACTGTAGTGTCAAGGCCCTGCGTTCGCACATATCACTTCCACAAGAGGAGCGGCAGTACTACCGAGATATAGTGGACGGCGCGAAGGCGTCACTGGATGAAGCTGAGGGCAAAGTTCACTATACATTTGACTTTGCCCAGCAACTTGAACTGCCATTTCATACTCGCCGTGTACATAAATTTGCTCTATATCGCTCAATTGACATGCCACTATTAAATAGGTGGTTAGGCACATTTTGCCATCGCAGATCAACTTGAATTTTTGTTTGAGCACATTACCATACCATACCAACATTTTGGAAGAAATGTTTTTCCGCCAAAAGTGCCATAGGATGGTTTCTGTAGTCCCTGGCTCATGTATTGGGGTTTTCCACCTTAACCTGGCAAAACAGTTTGTCAATTGACTTATCGGTGTACTGTTTTACTCAGAAGTAGCGACAAACTCGGCCATTTGAAAATAATCTTAACCGTCCACCTCTCCACACTGCGCTCTTCGTTATCTACCTCTGCTGGGGAACTCTTACTGAACGAAACAGCTGTCTGAAGGATATGGAACATCTACTCAAGAACGAACTTCCTCGCTATGGAGTGGTGTTGTGATAGTGGGCCAAGAGTGCAGTGTGGAGAGGTAGACTGGGTAACTATGGCAAATATGGGCGCGCAAGTAGCTACCCAGGCCAATGGACCAACAGGTGACAAAAGCAGACAAAAGGTGAATACGACATAGTATGGGGTTCATGCAGGCCAGCTTGGAAAAGGTTGTATGGGAGGAGGTACCTAACACATTTTATCCACTATAGATACTTTTCTGATGGATAACGCATAGGAATGTCTCGTCATGTGTGTTACCTGAATGTTGTGCATGAGATTGAAGTAGAATAGTTCGCCTCTCTCTCCACAAGTATTTGATACCATACTGCACGTTTATTTATTGCTTCAAGGTAGAGATTTTGAATTTGTACGTCGTGTTCTTCGTTTTGAGACTTTGCTTACCGTTCTGTTCTGTTATCCATACTCAGCATTCTCCGCGCCTGCTCTGTTCCTTTCTTCCCTTTGCTATTATCATGTTTCCTTTCTTCTCTGACTCACTGACTGTCAACTTGTCTAGTTTCGAATTGTTTCATTTTCTGCCAGATCGCAGAGATCGTTTCCGGCATCATAGCTCACGGTTACTTTTCGAACACATTTTGCGTAGGCATTTTCACGAGTTGTGTTGACGTCATGCCCTATCAGCTACGCGTCATTATTGCAAGCATGCGCATTGCTTTTGCTTTCTGCTTTATTTGAATGCTGCGCCTTCTGCAAAGGTTAGCGTCCCCACGCTTGCTGGCCGAAGCCCCATTGACCGCGCCGCGTGCGTACTCGCACACGTCAGCCGGGCTTCTCCACGTCGCCTTGCCTCGCCCCCGCCGGTTCCGTGGAGTTCCGGTTTTATTTCTCCTTGTTGATTAGCTCTCCCAAGATTGAGTTGTTGTTTTCTATATCCTTACCTAACTAATTCCTTTCCAAGTATCAGTCCTATTATTTACACTACTGTCAGAGTCCGCCGTTGTGAGTGCTGTGTGCATGTGCGGAGTAGTAGTGGTGAATAATTGTTGTGCGTGCGTTACACAACAAGATTGCCTCACTTCATAGTGGATTGCGCATTACATCCAATAAAAGTACTTTTCTGATGGATAACGCATAGGAATGTCTGGTCATGTGTGTTACCTGTACACAGAACGATGTACTTCCTGTTCATAGCACTGCCTGGGGAGGACATCTGGAAGTAGTCAAGTATCTACTAGATCTCCAACCCGACACGATCTCTGTGCAGGGCCACGTAAGTTAAGCAATCTCTATCATTGACTCTCCTTGCTGTAGTCAGTTACTCCTACAGCACTCTTCTTGCCAATGACGACTACAGTGCTTGCTATAATCAATTGCTGGGGAGTATCAGGCTGAAAAAGCAACCCCACCGATTGATATACTCCAAAAGTACTGTGAATATGGGTGACTTTCCTGACCAGCACTGATAGCTGCACAAAGCACCTCCATTATGCATCCGGTTCACATAAACATTAGTCTCAATCATTTCTGATGTGAACTCATGGACACACTCATCATCAATTCAACACCTGTCAACAGGAATGTTTTGGTGTGTGCAGAGATGTCCATAAATGATTCAAAACAGTTCTTAGTATTGTATACTTGCGCCCATTATATGCCCCTCCACCCACAAGAGGAATATTGCAACATTACTTTGGCTCAAAAAGAATGCAAACTAATCAATCTCGTGCCCAGCACTAAAGCATGTATTGGTTTTTTCCAGCACTAGCTTGTGAACAATTGACTTCTCACAATGTTGTGCGTGAGACTGCCTCACTTCATAGTGGATTGTGCATTATACCCAGTATAAGTACTTTTCTGATGGATAACGCATAGGAATGTCTGGTCATGTGTGTTACCTGTACACAGAACGGTTGCCTTCCTGTTCATTTCGCTGCCTCAGAAGGACATCTGGAAGTAGTCAAGTATCTACTAGAACTCCAACCCGATACAATCTCTGTGAAGAGCAGTGTAAGTTAAGCAATCTCTATCATTGACTCTCCTTGCTCTAGTCCGTTACTCCTACAGAACTCTCCTTGCCAATGAGGACTACTGTGCTAGCTATATGTCAATTGCTAGGGAGTGTCAGGCCGAAACAGAAACCCCACTGATTGGTATACTCCATAAGTACCTGTGACTATTGGTGACTTTCCTGGCCGGCACTGATAGCTGCACAAAGCACCTCCATTATGCGTTCGATTCACATAAACATTGGTCTCAATCATTTCTGAAGTGACCTCATGGACACACTCATCATCAATTCAACACCCGTCAACAGGAACCATAATTTAATTGGCTTACAATCCGAGTTGAATAATCAATATCTCAAGAATTTTCGTGCGGACACAAATGAAATTAACCTAATATGTAAACCAAGTTATAACCGAAACCGAAACAATTATAATCAAAACGAAAGAGATTGCCTCACTCACCTCCTTTATCACCACCAGACTCCTTACAGATATGGACAGGACCAGTCCCATCATCCTTCACACCACGGGCAAAGGATAGACGACATTGTTCGCGACCTATATTGCCTTTCTTACAAGTGGTCGAGTGCGTATGTAGATTCGTCGCTGCTATCACCCGTTGCAAAAGGTCTTCAAATGAACGCCGAGCGCAGCATTCCAACGGCGAATTCGGTCATATAGATAGAACAAAAATCGGTTGTCCCTGCCGAAACGACCATCATGCCACATCATAACTCTTTTGGATAAAGATGTTGACATAATATCTTTTTCTCCTATGCCCAATGGGAAACCTAACAGGAACGCGTTGTGAGTAAATTCATTAATTATCTCACTAGTATCCGTCCTGATGGTGACTTCCAATAACCTGTCCCTCCGTGTTGGAAAAGATGCATTCCGGTGCGTGCCATCTGTTGTCACTGGCTCCTGAGCTTCACCATCCGTGCCATTAACAGTGTGTTCTAACACTTTGAACACTTTGGATGTTACGCTAGCATCATGCTGCACGGCTCGAGAAGTGAGCATAACAGACTGCACACCGTCCACAGCTGGTAATCCCAAGGTGTCGTCGAAGTCAGTCATGTCACCATGCGGTCTTACATTGGCTGTGTCATCACGCGCGTAGTCGTCTATCGCCGCTGCGATTGCACTGTCCGCGCAATGAGCATTGTCCACAAGTAATTCTGGAAGAATCTCCAAAGCGTCTATAATGCTTGACGACAAGTTGACTGCATCTTCCGGCAAATGGCGATACGTCCAGTGGTCAGCAGCTTTCATCACACGGAGCCATTGCATTATCTTTCGCCCACTACACGCCAGAAGACCACTGTGCGGGCCGTCCCATCTTAATATGTCAGACCGCCTTTGTTGCCATTGTACACTAGATCCTAGGAACATAATCGAAATGTCTTCAGATATATCTTCGAGCCTATAATCATAGCAAAACAATTGAAACAAATATCTAGTTTAAAACCTTTTTGAACCTAATTTAAACATCGTCAAAAACCTACTACATACCTCACAACTACCAACGAACTGCACAAACTAATAAAAAAAGTTGCATTTCAAATATTAAACGAACCTGTGCCTTGGAAACATGGCACCAGTCGCCTCGACAGCATCGTGACGGAACATCACTGCATGACCCTCCAGGAAACTCTGAGATGATCTTCAAGGGGCTCGACGAGAAGGTTTTATTTTGAGAATAGTTGCGAACGTTCGATACGGCGACACCACAATCTTCTCAAGTAATGACAACGGTTCCAGCATGTCCAACCTTCCGAAATCGTACCCACTAGCCAAGATATATTTTGGCACCATTCCCTTCTTCAAGATAGAGCTACAAGCGGCACAAACGATAACTTCAGTGGAACCATCTTCTACCTCATTTAAATGATCAAGGAGAAGGTGGTACAGATTTCCATCTGAAGGGGAGCGATATACATTCATCACTTCCCTTACTATCTCTGGCCTCTGCTCGTACATTTGGGCGGCTGAATCATCCAGTCGAAGGCATTTCATAAACGCCTCGTCCTGAAGTTGAGACTTGTGTGACTTCACCATATCACGGCAGCCACACGCAGCGCACAGGCAAACCTTCTCTAAATTATACTCCGCTTGGAACGCTTCCAGACCATCAGCTAGCAAGGCTGTAGAAACTGGTGCTGGAATAACGGATGCCAGTTCTTCTTGTGGTATCATCAAGTCTATGTGATGATTAGTTATATTGAAATAGAATAATGCAACGAAGGACTGAGAGAGGACGACTCGTCAGGAAACTACCAAGGAGAGACTGAACAGCAACAAGAGACATGCGCTGTCGATTATGGGCACGGAGTACACACATGCATGCATAGTATGAGTAGTATGCTGTAAGGCTGTACGCACGTCCATGCAAGGAGATGCAGTACCATGTTAAGAAACATGAGAGTGCAAATATGTACGATGTACACGGGTACACCACACGCCCCTTCTGAGATAAACAAGCGAAAAATCGGAGCTGTTTATCTCACATAAATGAGAAGGAAAAAACAGAAGTGACAGAAAAGAAAGCAAACACTAATGAAGCGTGATACCAATTCCAACTATTTGTAGCAAGAGTGTGAGGTACAGGTAGGTAGAGTCAAGCATAGGACTTAGATGCTGTGGATGAAATGTTCAAACGCTCTGGTGCCTGGCGAGACCGTTGGCTACGACGAGGCTGCTGCACACAAGGCTGCTGCGGTGCTGCGGGCTCAGCTGGGGAGGTGTCTGCAGGCGGAGCGGGAGGGGCTACAGCAGGGGAAGGCTTGAGAAGGCGACGGTTGCGCCAGTAAACACGGCCGTTGGGTAACTTCACCATATAGTCCCGGTTGTGACCAATGGCGACGACCACGCCGGTGGTGCGCCAGAGTTTGGTGCGCGGATCTTGGATGTCAACCCGCATGCCAATGCGAAGTGGGGACAGTGATCTGGCAGACTCATCATAATGCTGTTCTTGGGTGGCAGACTGAGCGGCAGAGCGCTTGTCAACATCGGTGGCTTTTGCTTGCCAACCAGGAGCAAAGCTGAGATGATGAGCTGTCACGAAGGAGGACAATGGTCGACCAAACAGTGCTTGGGCTGGGCTCTGACCATTTTCTCGGGGGGTGTTGCGCCATTCTAACAATGCGCGTCTGAACTCATCGACGTCCAAGTTACCGTCGGACGTGGTCTTCAACACAAGTGATTTCATCGCTTTCACGGCGGCTTCGGCATGGCCATTAGATTGAGGGTAATGAGGTGAAGACGTGCAGTGCTGAACTTGCCATCGGGTGCAAAATTCAGCGAAGCGACGTGATGAAAATTGCGGACCACCATCAGTGGTGAGGATGCTGGGGACACCGACGTCGGCGAACCAGCGACGGAACACACGGATCACATCGGCAGAAGATGCAGTGCGGCCGATCTTGGCGATGCAAGGCCAGCCAGTGTGACGGTCGACGTAAACCAGGTATTCCCAGCCTTGACAGGAAAATAAGTCGGCACTGGTTGACTGGAATGGCAGGGTGGGACGGCGGTCAGTGGTGACACGCATCGGTTCCTTACACTGAGACGGAGCGTGCAAGCGACACTGTTCGCAACTGCGAACGACTTGGGCGATGTCATTAGACAAGTGTGGCCAGTATACGACTTGTCGAGCTCGACGCTGTGTGCGGTTGAGGCCTTGGTGGGAGGCATGAAGATCCTGGAGCACACGTGGGCGGAGGGTACGCGGGACACGCTGGCCTTTCAGGACAAGATCACCGTCGACTGAAAGATGCTTGCGGATAGTGAAGTACGGTTTCACAGCTGAGTGGACGGCGCGCTGATCATGAGGGAAACCTTCACGAACGGCTTGGAGGAGGGCCTGATAGTCATCATCGGCATGGGCAGCGTCCAAGAGCTCGCAGTGCCGGAGGTCTGCAATTCGGCCATCCTCGTCCTGGCGGAGACATGCTCTGATGGCTGGTGCTGAGAGCGTTGAGCTTTCACCGAATTCTTCCTCACTGGTCGGCTTGTCGACCGGGTTACGGGACAGTGCATCAGCAAACGCATTCTCTTTGCCCTTGCGCCAGTGCGCGACGAGTTGAAACGACCGGAGCTTCAGTGTGAGGCGTAGCAGACGTGGATTTTCTATCTGATCCAGGGTGTACTTGTTCAGAATCGGGACCAATGAACGGTGGTCAGTGAACAAATCGAATCGGCTGCCGGACAGAAAGAGGGAGCACTTGTGGACAGCCCAAACCACAGCAAGTAACTCCAGTTCTATGACGGCATAACGTGTCTCTGCGTCGGTGAGGAAGCGGCTGCCACACTGCAGCATGCGCCACTGGTTATCTTGGCGTTGCCATAACACGAACCCAAGTCCGTTCAGGGCAGAGGCGTCGGTCTCTAGCCGTAGGTCGTCACCAGGACGGTAGTACGAGAGAGTCGGCGGCGATATCAGTTCAGACTTTGTGGCGTTGAAAGCCGCCGTGTGGACATCATCCCACACGAACTCATTCGTGGTCTTCAATAACGGACGTAGCGGAGCTGCGAGCTCGGATATCCGTGGGGTGAATTCTCCACACTGATTCACCAGACCGAGGAAGGAACGGAGGTCGGTATGATTGGTGGGTAGGTTGAAGTGCTGAAGAGCAGATGTCTTGTCAGCTGGCACGGTGTATCCGTTGGTCGACACATGAAACCCACAGAATTCGACTTCAGCAGCGGCAAAGACAAACTTCTTTTGACTAAGAGTAATTCCGTGTTCGCGTGCACGGGTCAGGACGGCACGGACGTGAGCGACATGGTCCGAGAATGACACATCGTGAACGAGGCCGTTGTCCACCACCTCGGTCGAAAGCTGCGTCGGTGCGGCGGTTGTACTCATCGCCGGCGGACACAAGACCTTGTGGATTCCGGCAGAATCGGTATCTACCCCACGGCGTGATGAATGTAGTGAGAGACTTGGCAGACTCAGGCAGGGGCACCTGCCAATAGCCATGACGGGCGTCACACTTG